CAGACTCTTGGTCAAAGCGAAAGAACAATACAAACACTTGAAGATATGCTGAGAGCATGTACCCTGGAATTCCAAGGTAATTGGGATGAACATTTACTTTGGTAGAATTTTCCTACAATAATAGTTTCCACTCGAGCATTAAGATGACACCTTATCAAGCTTTGTATGGACAGAAGTGTCGTACGCCGTCTTGTTGGCTTAAGGCTGGGGAAAAGCAGTTTATGGGACCGGAGATAGTCCATCAAACTGCTGAAAAGTTGAAAATAATTAGGGAGAGAATGTTAGCAGCTCAGGATCATCAAAAGAGCTATGCTAACAAGAAAAGAAGACCGATGACTTTTGAAGTTGGAGATTCGATTTTGCTTAAAGTCTCGCTGTGGAAGGGACTTATAAGATTTGGTAAAAGGGGAAAATTAAGTCCAAGGTTTATTGGACCATTTAAAGTTCTTTAGAGGATTGGGAACCAAGCTTACAAGCTCGAACTACCAGAAGAACTGAATGGAATTCATAACACTTTCCATGTGTGTTATTTGAGGAAGTTCACGGGAGAAATTCCCGACATGATTCCACTTTCGGAGTTAAGAATCGATGAGAACAAAAGGTTGATTGAAGAACCAGAGGCAATCATTGACCAAAAGACTAAGAAGTTGCGACACAAGATGGTCGAGTTAGTGCTTGTCCGATGGAAACACACGAATGAGCCAAATCTCACCTGGGAGACGAAGAGTGACATGATGATTCGCTAACCGCATTTGTTTGTTGATGTGTGATTCCGGGGACATAATCATTCTAAGGTGGAGAGAATTGTAACGCGTGTATTTCTGGGATTGTTATTACTAGTGATGTAATAGTCTAGGTTAACCTTTGTAATTCGTTTTGAAATAATAGAAGTGTATTATTTGAGTATTATGTGTTTTGTACTTAATTGTGTGTCTTAATTGAATTAAGAATATAAAATAAGCGTCAAAAAGAAATATTTGATAAAGCCGATATCTATGGATAATGTTGTAGTAGTTGAAACGAGGTTTCCAAATATATAAAGAATGCCCAAATCTTACTTCGTATGAGGAAGTTATGATTTTTCTAAGTTTCAGCTTAGCAGTATGCAGCCCGAAACTCGAATTTGAGATCGAGTGATTTTTGATCGAAACAATCTAAACGAGAATCGAAGATGTCGTTGAGAGTAGTGCATTGGTGAAAAGACAGACGAAAACGGACGTCAAATGAAGAAGTTATGAATTTATAACGGAGTTTTCCTGTCCAGGCCTACTAAAAATAAATAATAAAAATATAGTAAAAATTATCCGACGGAGTCTAAACAAAAGTTGTAGAGCATAGTCTCATCTACACGTGGATATAAAGAACGTCAAAAACGAAGCTCGTATGCGAAAGTTACACAATTTGGAAGTTTGGTTAATCGGGTTATGCTAAGCGTAATGGAGTACGCCCAGCATACCCGGAACCGCCTGAGCTACGCATACAGTGACGTCACTCGAGCCATACGCATGCCATGACGTCGAAGTACGCCCAACGTAAGCAAGATTACGCCCAGCGTAATCGAGGTTTCCAGCCCCTATAAAAGGAAGTCGACGGCAGCCGATCCTTTGGCCCAAATTCTCTTCTCTTCTCTCTCTCTCTCTCTCTCTCTCTCTCTCTCTCTCCCGTTTTGCATCGTTTTGCGTACAACTTATACCCCGAAAGTCCGGTATCATTCCCGAGCCCTGAAGCAAGCCCCGAAGATCTCGAGAAGTGCAATTCCCGAACCGAAGCTCTGCCCGCGAGAAGCCCAGTTTTTGTGAAGATCTTCCAAATCTACGGAAGAATACTACTTCTACAAGTCATAGTGTTGTCCGATCATCTTCTGATCAAGTGAGTGTGTAGTTACTTTCTTCTAACGCATAATTATCAAGTATTTTATACGAAATACGTGTTATGTGTATATTTTGTTGTTATATGTGTGAATATTTATTCACTTTCTTCTAACGCATAATTATGAAGTATTTTATACGAAATATGTGTTATGTGTATATTTTGTTGTTATATGTGTGAATTTATATTCACTTTCTTCTATCTCATAGATATGATTTATTCTCTATGAACGTGTTATGTGTATGTGTCTCATCTGTTGTTTGGAATATGTATTGAATGAGAATGCTATACAAGTTTTAAACTATGTATAAAAATATATATTTTTATCTACTAATATGTTGGGTAGAACCTGGGTAGATAGTTGATGTGTGATAAACAGATGAGAGGCCTCGATGTTGTTGTTGTTGATCTAGTTATTCAACGAAGTATGGATAACGACCACAGACTCTTTCTAGACAGTCCTGTGGAACGCTAGCAGGCTCATAACCTGTAGGTGTTGTGAATGATGTGTTCGCCGGTGTACTCTATCTCCCTCATGGTTGCCTTTAGGACATCTACTGTTGAGGAAACCCCTTTGCAGTAATGTCCGTCCCGATGAAAATCCTAGATTAGGTCCCTTGAGATAGATGTTGTTTTAGGGACGTAAAGTGAGGATAATGGGAATGGGTAATCAGGTTATTGTTGGTTGGTAAAAGTAAATATAATTATTTATTGCGGGTTGAAAACCCTATATGCTCACCAGGCTCCCAAGCCTGACCCACTCAGTTTATTTGTATTACAGGTAGTGGCACGAGGGCATAAGATGGATGAATTATCAAGTTATTTTGTTTATTAGACCAGTCGTTATATGTAACTGTTGTATGATCTATCTTTTGTTGTTTATGCTTTTGTGTCTGTATCGGAACATGACATCCCGAGTTTTGATTATATAATGAAAATACAATTATTTATGAAATTCTTTGGTAAATATTATTTTATCATATTTTGTTTTTGGGAATAAATTCCGCAACTCTTTTAAATCAAAAGGATTTACTCTGAAATTATTTTAAAAGCATAAATGAAACCGGTCTTTTCTGGCCGAGATTTTGGGGATGTCACAGTCCGCTAGGACCGCACGAGATAGTCTACACAATTTTTGCAAAACTATTATTAAGTTTTATGGTCCAAAATATATACGTAAGTCTACAAGCAATAACATCATGAAATTGCAATCTCATCATGCTAGCGTACATGACTTTCCTGGAATGTTAGGAAGTTTAGATTGTTTACATTGGGCATGGGAAAATTACCCTGCCTTACACCATGATCAATTTACCCGAGGTGATCAATGACATCCAACGGTCATACTTAAAGCGGTGACGTCACACGATCAGTGGATTTGGCATGCTTTTTTTTTTTTGTTCTCTTGGATCCCTCAATGACCTTAACGTTCTTAATCGTTCACCTATATTTAACAACATATACGACGGATCTGCACCGGATTCTTCTTTCCAATTGCGTGGAATACCATATAAATATGGTGTTATCTAGTTGATGGGATCTATCCTGAGTATGCAGTTTTTGTTAAATCGTTTATGTGTCCGAATGATACTCGTCGGAACAAGTTCAAGAAAGCTCAAGAAAGAGCTAGGAAGGATGTCGAGCGCGCTTTTGGAGCTCTCAAGAAACGTTGGTTTATATTGAAAAAACCAACAATTTTTTCCAGCGAGGAAAAAATTCATGAAGTCATGTATGCATGTATAATATTGCATAATATGATTATCGAAAATGAAGAAAGAGCGATAACCATTCCCGCGACATAAGCAATAGAAATTGGGGGCGACGAGTACATTGAAAAGAGAACAGATGTTCGTTGTAATGAAATATTTCACGATCTTCGTATGGATTTGGTTGAACACATTTATGAGATGCAATACATTAACCTCAATTTGGATCCGAAGGATGACCCGGAAGACGAGTTCTCGGAGGACGACTTCATGTAGTGTGTTTATTTTAAATCGTTTAATGCATTTTTTTGAGTTTGTAGGTTTAAAATTTATAGTTTTATTTATTTATTTATTTATTTATTTTTTAAGTTTGTAGGATTTTTATTTGGGCAATGGAATGTAATGTTATTTATATTTTGAAGTAATGAAATGAATGGTTTTTATTAAAAATATAGTTTTTATTTAATTAAAAAAACTAAAACAAAGTATGGCACCACTCCTTGGGTGTGGTATGAGACCACACTTTTGTGGTAATGGGTGAGGTGATGCCTACATATCACAACGGTTTCATGAAGGAGCCCGACACCATTCATCCGGTCTTAATTACTGGTTAGCATGCAATCTATAAAATACATGAGGAGGGGCAAATACAAAGTGGAACGGATGTAAAAAATGACCTTCACCTCACATGCATTAAGATGGTGGAGGGTGCAACGATGGTCACAGAAGGGATATTAAGATGGTGGAGAGTGCAAGTTGGAAGCTTTCATAAGGTGAATCAAATTCTAGAATTTGCTGCCAAGTGGGGATCGTGTTCCAAAAGAAGGAGGATTTTTATGGTCATCTGTTACTGTATGCTATGGTCTATTTGGAAAGCAAAAAACGATAGAGTTTTCAATAACAACCGGCTGTCATCTGATAAAGTCATAGATATTGTCAAATCTATGAGCTTTCTTTGGGTGAAAAACAAGGGTAAAAGAAAGGAGTTAACCTGGGTAAATTGGTCTCAATGCCCGTTTTCTTAACCTGTAATTTCATTTGTTTGATATTGTTTTATTTTCGTGTTATTCGTGTTTCTATGTTTTGCCACTAGCTTTATGTAACTTGTACTGTTATTTCCATGTTTTCTCTTTTTAATATTAATCTGTTGGCGGGTCAAAAAAAAACATCACATGCATTAATTAGCCTCGTGATTAGGGTAATGTTATGCATCAAATTAATGAGTTTAAATAGAAGGAAAAGAGGTTAGACGATATTAATTATAAGCACAATTTTAAACCATGAAATGTGTTTGTTGGTGAGACTATATTAGCAGTTCTGAAGAGAAATTAGGAACGAAGATGAAAGTTTCAAAATGAAAAGCTAATTAAGTACTAGAACAAAATAATTTGTTTTATTATCTAAATTGATGATGAACAAACCTAACACAAACTGAATACTCAAACGACCATATATATTAATTAAAAATTGAAACTTAAGTATTCAAAGTAATGTATTAGAATTTCGAGATAAATTGATATTATTTGTAGAGGACGTATTCTCTTGCTGTATCCCACACACCATCATTACCATGCATGACTTCATTATCTCAACCTCCCTTCTTGTGGATCGATAGCTTGAGGTGGTGATACTGCAGCTACTGATGCTGTCCCTGTTTTTTAACAAATAAGAAAGATGAGCAAACATAAGAACATAATAAAGATTTCATGATAATATTACTTGAAAGGAAAAATTAAGGGGGTAAACAAGAAGGGTGATATTTTTGTAGCAATTTTCAACAAATTATTGTTTTACAAATCACTAACTAGAAATACCTTTTTTCTTGTCGCATACTTTGTCACCCCAACAACTCCAGCTGCCACCCCAAGTACCAGTAGGCATTGGTGGTGGTGGTATTTTTGACACTGCTCCTAATCGTTGTGCTTCAACTGTTATCGTAGTAGAAATGAGAGTAAATGCAAAAAGAACAGTCAAGAAAAAAGCCATACCACCCTCTAATCTCATCTTCAAAAACTGTCAGATTAATGATATTTAGCATTCTTGTTTCGTTTTTATAAATGTACATATTCTAACAAAAGTCAACTGTAAATAGTTGGGTTCACATGGAGACCTGATTCATATTCAAATATATTTCAATACAAGTTCCACGAAACATCAATATAAATCCCCAATTTTCTATTTGAGTGGATGGAGCTAGTTGGATATAGGTGGCAATTCTCTACGTCACGAGCAACACGACACAAAGTTAACCATGTTTTGGTTGAGTTTTTTTTACCCACCAACTCGTTTACTATACGGGTCATCTTCAGTTTTGCAAATAATTTCACAGGTTGAGTTTTTCTTACCCACAAACCCGAATCTGACTCACGAACCCGTATAATTAAACAAGTTACACGAGTTGACCTGTTTATGGCGAATCCAGTTAAGAGTTAAGCAAAACGACACAAAGATTTCGGGTTAAGCAAAACGACACAAAGATTTCGGGTTGAGCTTTAATTATGATCCGCCAACCTGAACACGACTCAACTGCCACCCCTAGTTGGATATTCGGAATCTGGAATCATATACAACCCATTGAATTACCGACTGAGCAGCAAAAAGGTACTTACTAAATGCATGGATTTTTCAAATTTAAAAGAGATCACTGAGATTAGAGAGAGTAAATTAAAAAGATTGTTAGGATTTTAAGAAAAAATAAGATGTTCAAAATGAGATCGTTTTAAATTAATATTACTCACAAATTAAAAGTCTCACACCGATGGTAAACCTGCAGGAAAAGTGGAAAACTGAGTCATGGTTGAACCCAAAATCTCGTCATGTTTGCTAAAAGCATCGACTTTTTAAAGATGCAACGCATGTTTGACTTCAAATTGCATATGAATTCTTCCAACCTTTGTGGAAAAATGCATCTATACCTAATATAAAGATAACATATATAAAACTTTTTAATATGTTAGTAAATATCAAAATGTATCTTGAATGAGATAAATCAGTGTAATGTTTTTCATAAACGGAAGACTCGAAATGCCTTACTCGAAGATATTGAACTTTTGACATTAATTAGTTTATCACTACCAGAAATATCTCGTCATGTTTCAGAATTATCATTATAATTTCAGCCACATTTTAAGTTTTATGGATGACATTAAGTTTAACAAAATGGTTAAGAAGTTCAGTAAGCGCATACTTGTGCTGAGGAAATGATTATGTAATGAGGAAACTAGCTATAATTAAAAGTCATGTAAGAAAATAGGTTACCTTCACAAAAGTCTAACTAGTAAAATGTACGTATGAAATTGATATATTTTTGTTTATGTATGTAACTGGAAAACTTTATGAAAATAGTTCTTATCTATATATTCGTGGAGAACTATTAAAAATGAACAAATATGGTGGCATGTGGTGCATAATTAATAATTAAACAACCGTAATTTATTTGACTTTATGGGTTACAAGACGGATACATTATAGTAACACATGCTTTATATTAGTTAAGAACGGATTGTATCATTGTAATTCTGCATATTATTTAAAGAATGGATACGTACGTCTCTAGCTTGTTATGAGCCATATACCATCATTATATTATACGTCATGTAATTCAATAACAATTTTGATTGGATAATTAGAATTTTTACAACATTGTTTGGGAAAAAAAAAACCGCATTTAAGATGAACAAAAAAAAACATTGTAAATTCTGAACGTAAGAAATTTGATTATTTTTTTAAACAAGTTTTAACCACTTAAACCATACCGAGTATATGGTCAAGGCGGTGGAGTAGGTGAGACATGGCTACTTTGACTTCTTGAGCGCAATGTGTGTGTGGCCTTAATCAATTAATTGTATGAAACTCGTCACTTGACCGCAACAACTCATTATGATATTCGTTTTTGTTCATAAAAGTTTCTTGAATTTGAAAAAAGAGAAATTCAGTGTTGTAAAACTCACCGAGTTAGCCGATTATTTTTCTGAGTACTCACTACTCGATCCCTTACCGAAGCGAGTAACAGAATCCCGAATACTTCACGATCGGCCCATTATTGAACTGAGCAGTGTTGTCAAACCCGATCAACTCATTGATTAATATGTAAAATATACGTGACGATTTATTATTTAACATACACACATGTGATTATTAATACATATATATCTTAAATTTTCAGTAATTATTCACGAAGTGAGACCATTATATGTTTTTCAGTTTTTGTGTATTTACATGTATCTAATTTTGTTATATATTTCAATTAACTTAAGATTTCAACTTATGATTTTAACATATATAAGTTCCTTAAAAATATTTCTACATGAATTACAGAATTCGAGTACTCCTCGAGTACTCCTAAGTATTCGCTACTCGGTAGTCGGTCGAACAAGTACCGAGTAGCGAGTTCTACAACCTTGGAGAAATTTATGTATTTAATACATGCCAAGTGTAGACTTATGAATAATTTTCTTAATCGTATAAACTATGAAGTATATATTTATAGGTGTACAATGTAAAAGGTACATTCTTTTATATCGAGTAGCAAGTTAGAAACATCTTAATTGATATGCTCATATGAATGTTCCTTTTAGATTTCTTGTTTTTATCTACACTTGTCTAATATAACATCAAGGCAAATCACCAAACGAAACTATAACGGAGAGATTGTGCTACCTTGTTTACCCTTCAAATCATCATCGAGCTTTGCTAACCCTGTTAAGCAAACTATAAGATTATAAAAATTACCACATTTTGTGTATTGTATTGACCTCTATAAATAATACATTGGCTACAAAGATAAAGAAGAGATAAGTACAAGAAACTGACTTCCTAATCTATATGATTTACATTATCTCGACGAATAATACCCCCTCCAAGTTGAATGGTGGGGAACCAACACAAAGCTTGGCTCTGAAATTTTGAAAAAGATATCACACTAGACTTTTAATGAAAATTTTAGAGAGTTGGAGCTTTGATGGAACAAATCTAGTTGACAGACGTCTAGAAGGGACGAGCTAAGGAACAAAATGAGAATCAATTTCTATGAGATATATGATTTTGACTTCAAAATATTGCATTACCATTATCTGAATATAGAGTAGGACGGTGAGAAGGCACAATAGACAAGTCACACAACATATTAGTCACCCAAAGTATTAGCCATAGCATAATATTCGGATTCACAACTTGAACGAATATCTTTTTAGGATATCCTACCAAGCCTAACTTATATTTTTAGGATACTTTACTAATCCCCATTTACTATCTTTTTAGGATACTTTACTAATCCTAGTTTATTATCTTTGTAGGATATCTAACAATCCTATCTTATTCTCATTGATATTTCATTAATCCTAACGTATTTTATCTACAACTCTAAGGTGTCCCTCTTTGGTAGTTGGATCTCAAAGGCGATTGTAATGTATTACCATGACTCCCCATAATCGACGTTGTTTGACTAGTGATTTCCCCGACACGACGCTTCATCGGACATCGAATAGTGAATAATAAGAAAGTTATCATGCCGGGATCATAGTTGGCAATCGCAAGTGGGGGTATCAATCCCTGTATAGATCTATACATATCTTTCTAGCTCTCGCAAGATTAACGATTACAGGTTCGGGGTAGCCAGATGTAATCAAGTCTATTGGATGAATATTAACACCTCACTAACTCATTAACCTTAGGTATTTTATCTTTTAACGTTCTTCTTGAGTGATTTCCTGTAAATATCACAATATAAAACCCTTTAATTTTATATTTGATAATTATATCTTTTAGATCTCATTGTTATTATTATTATTATTATTATTATTATTATTATTATTATTATTATATATATATATATATATATATATATATATCCTAATTATGGTTATTTGAAACAGGATATTTGGGCAGAGTAATGATTAGGTATAATGCATATCCCTATGTTTAACCAACATTACTTCTAGGTACTACATTTGTTGGGTTTTGAGCACTATAACACTTCTATGGTGCACATAGCACCCTAGATGCTTTAGATCTACATTTTTTCTAATTATACATGCATTTTTATTTTTCAAAAGCATACATCCTAACTAGCATACAATTGAAGCTATATAACATAAAAACTAGTTTAGATGATTACCTCTTATATGTAGGGTGCAGTTCTTGACCTTTGAAAGCTTGAGCACCTCAAGTGTGATGCCTCTAATGGTTCACAAACACCAAATGCAAGAGGAGGCTTGAGAGAATAAGTTACTAAGCAAAAAATCAATATCACTATCTTAGACACCTAATCCAATAGTCTGCCACTTGGATAAGTCTAATAACTATAATTGTCAATGAAACTTTAGGATCCGATTAGTAATCATAAGCTTTTAAAAAGCCGTTGTCGAACTCTGACTCAGTCAGTGACGCGTCCTTTAGATAAGGGATCATATATTCCTCTGTTTTCAAGATACCTATGCGGAAAAAATACATGGAACATAGTCATACTAATTATCCTGCAATTTCTTTCTCGATTTCAAATGCGTTTGACATAGAACATAACTGAACGCATCAATTTAGTTCTGATCGGGCCCGACACATAAGTCAAAATAGAATCATCGAAGGGCCCAAGATATCACTTTTAATCCTCTCAGGATAAAAGGAACATATAAACTTCGACATTATATGATTGTACTAACTACTCATTAAATCATGCACACCGATACATTTTATAACATCAAGTTACTGATGTGTTTTCGTATCATCAATGCACAGCCAACTCGTAGTCAACAACTCATATATCTCGGTTTGAAGACTATATGATACTATCGTCTCACAATCACTCGTGATAAATTCCATGAAGTGATTCAAGTGAGCGTGGGTTGAATCCGATACTCAAATCTTATTTCAGAAGTACTCATGAATGGTGTAGCAAACTTTTGCTATGTCTAACGCCTTAGACAATCTACAAGCCAACTCATGATAGTCTAGCCTCATTACCTACTTCCAAAGTATGATCGAATGTGGATGGTTTGAATAATCTTATTATTCAGGAAGTCAAAACAAGCAAAGTGAAACACAAGAATAATACTAATCCTATATGGCCCCAAAACTTTTGAGTATAAATAAAATACCTTTTATTTAATCATCTTATTGATTACTCATTATTCAATGGATAATGTTTCGAATAATCAACTTGATACTTGAATTTAAAAAACAGTTATCCCATGCTCCAAGCATGCACACTGTGTTTGTCTATGGTCCTTACTTTGTGAAATAGATCAATTGTAAACATTTCCAACGATACTCATTTCACAATTCCAAATCCTTATCGTAAGTGTGAGAATACCAAGTCTTTGCCACTTACTGTAATATGTTAGATTCCAACCTTATATGTAGTGATCCTTTTGTAATGACTATGTACACATGTCACAAAGGCTTTAACAACGATAAAACTTTCCATTGGAGATTGTTACAAGACAATCCCATATATACGAAGTCTCATATTCAAAGCACATTCCTTTGAACATCTTTCTTTGCATAAAAATTTCTAACTAACTCATAGATTCTTGATATCTAACTCTCATTCTGGAAACTTTTCCATAATTGCCATATGACTATCCATTCTTAATAGAATCCTATCTATTTAGAATTACATCAATATGGTCCATTCATTACTATACTTCCAACTATCCGTAAGTACCCAATCGTTAGCGAACCTTATATTGTCCTTGACAGTTGTTTAACCACTTTAGTCATATCTAGTTCTAGTCCTTTTTCTCTCTTAATGCCCTAGGCATTTGGGAAATTAAAACACATGAATATTATAGTGTAGCACCTGGTTCCTGGTACGTAAAATTTATCTAAGTATTTGCAATTTTAGCTTTGGACTCGGCGAGTTGTAGGCCCGAATCGCCGAGTAGAGACGGGATATGGAACACATTTAAGTTGGCGACTCGGCGAGTCCATATCCTGGACTCGACGAGTCCCCACTGTCTGATGAAACCCTAAATTTCAACGGTTTGCACCCTATTTAAACCAACCTTATGCGCCCCAACCTAGCCCCCTTCACCCTCAGAGCTCCCAATATCGTCCAAACCCTTATTTCTTGAGAGATTGAAGTGCTTCGGTGTGTTTCTTGAAGATTTTTAGAGAAAAGAAGAGTAGATCAAGAAGAGAAGAAGGAGGCCAGGCATTCTTGTGTTATTTCAGTGATTTCCTTGAGGTATAACTCAGTTTCCCTCTGTTTTCATGCTTATATTCCTTTATAGCTCCATTAAAGTCCTTCTTGAGCCATTTCCAAGCTTGTTTTCGAGTTAGGGTCTATAATAAGTTGATTAACCCTTAGATCTAGGCATGATTGAGCTCCAAGAGCTCAGATCTACTGCCTTTATGGAGCCATATTGCATGAAAGCCCTAGATCTACTTTTTAGTGCATTTTGAGTCCTAAAACCTTCATTGGTGTTTATTTACACGTAAAGTTGGAAACTTTACGTGTTAATCAAGCCCTAAGAACCCAGATCTATGTATGGCATGAGCTGGTTTCAAGCAAAATCGAGTATGTAGTATTTGCATGAGAAAGACTCGGCGAGTCGTTTATTGGACTCGGCCAGTCGAGTCGTGAGTCCCCGAGTTTTCCCCCTTTTCGTGTTTGCTGGGTGGAGTAGTGGGTCATGGGATGTGACTCAGTAGGTCGGAAGCCAGACTCACTGATGAAGGAACTCAGCGAGTCAATGCCCTGACTCGGCGAGTTCAAGACAATCTTCTTGCCTCAAGAACAGACTCGGCGAGTTGTTCATACAACGCGGTGAGTCTCAGCATAGAATGTTCTTCGGATGAAGATGAACTCGACGAGTTGTTCATACAACTCGGGGAGTATGATGAAGGACTATTGGACATCAGTTTAAAAGGAAAACTCGTCGAGTCAATGCCTAACTCGACGAGTAGAGACGGGATTATGGTCAATCGAATGGATAGGGACTCGACGACTTGGTGAGCCAACTCGGTGACTTGGGTACACTGGAAGTTGACTTTGACTTTGACTCTTGGTTTTGTTAGGGGTAAATGTTTATTTTACCCTGAGGTCGGTTAGCAGTATTTGACTGAGTGTTTAGTGGGAATTACAGCCGGAGGATTTCCGGAGCAGCAGCAGCAGACAGACCGTTCCCACGCAGATCAGCAGCTACTACGAGGTGAGTTACCTTCCAGTAGCGGTGGGTCTAAGGCCACAATGCCGGCCCACTAGTAGGAGACGTATGATAGATGATTGTCTTTGTAATATCATCTAGGTTTGCTACTACCTGATATGTTATATGCTAGCATGATATGTTGTATGTGATAGTAGAAGAGTTTGGTTGTTAGGACCGAAGGGTAGTCAGACACCCCAGATACTTCTGTCAGTATGTGATGATATGTTTGCATGTTGGCTTGTTATGTTATATGCGATAGAGGTAGTAGGAGGGGACCAGTCCCCGAGTTCGGTTGATAGGACCAAAGGGTAGTTCAGGCACCCCAGATATGTCTGATAATATGTTATGTTATGATATACGTGATAGTAGCAGTAGGGGTGAAATAGTCCCCGAGGATCGGTTGTTAGGGCCGATGGGTAGTCAGCACCCCAGAATGGCTTGACATGGGTAGTTAGCACCCCAGAACGGCTTGACACGGGTAGGTCGGCACCCGAGAATGGCCGTATCGGGTAAGTTGGGCACCCCAGAATTACCCGGTAGTATGTATGATATGTGATTGTATGGTATGTGGTATGATGGGGAACTCACTAAGCTTCGTGCTTACAGTTTTCATTTTTGGTTTCAGGTGCCTCTTTTTCGAAGGGGAAGGAGCTAGCGCGGTAGCGGCACATCACACACACGCTTTGTATTCCGCACTATGAGATCTTCCTGGGGATTTTTACTATGATATTGTTATGTTTTTTATAAAAAACTGGTTTCCAGACACGCGCATCTTTTATCAAATGATATGATCGGTGAATGTTTTATTTCTACTGTTTTGCTAAGTATATGTTTTAAAAATGAAATTTTTGGCTCGTTTTTTTGGGATGTTACATATAGCATATTCAATCGACCCTATATCCGAAGCATATGGGACACGATTCATAATGTCTTATATAAAGACCTAATACTTTACCAGTTGCTTGCTATAACATTTCCAATATATAGAATTTCCTTATGTCAAATCTTTTCAACATAACTTTCATATATGTCCTTGACTAAATTTGATTAAAATTCTCAATCTAAACTTTTAGAATTGAAATGAAGTACAATTTCTTCTACCTTAATTATAGCAAAACAACTTTTCAACCCTACAATTTTGCGAATTGAAACCTTTGTTTTTCTATAATCAACATTGCTAACTTGCAACACTTACCATGATAATTATGCTCCCACTAGCTTAGCAATTATTTTTGTTACTAGCATACTATTTATGCTCCCACTAGCCATGACATGTATCCAAAATCAAGTGGACTTCTAGAAATCAATACTTATTGACTTTCTTACCAAAGTTCAGATTTCTGATACGAGATGCTTCAATATGCCTTTATCTTAGCTCATACACCTTTTATTAGAAATCTCATATGTGTATCTAAACTATTT